CCCCCCAGCCACTCTGTGGGAGAAGCGTGTGTCCATCTCCTCCCTGAAATCTACAGCCTAGTAAGTCGCACGCCACAGTTCTACTCTGCCCTCCAGGTCCGACACTCCACCAGACTGCAATGGGTTTAGTTTGAGTATCTGAGTCCATCTTGCTCAGATGGGGAAACTGAGGCCCAACGAGAAGAAGAGACCGGTGCATGGTCAGGAGCCACTTAGGAAGTCCTGCTGGAGCTGAAGTGCCACCCACCTCCGGCCTGGTTCTCAGCGTTCCGCACCAAGCCACCCCTCCACCACCATCTCTCCTTGATTTTCTGTGCTGCTCAGGGGTAGAGAGTCCCACCCACGAGATCCGCGCCGACGCCGCCCCGTCTGCCCACTCAGCCAAGAGCATCATCATCACCTTGGCCAACAAGCACACTTTCGACCGGCCCGTGGAGATCCTCATCCACCCAAGCGGTAGGGTGTACCAAGGGCTTATCCCTTCTAGCCTCCCCCAGAGACAGACAGTGAGTCCCTCCCAGCTGCGGGGTCATCCTCTGACTGCAGACTGCGTTAAACAGCCCAGGGTGTCTGTCCCTCTTTCTGTTGGGACTCCTACCACCTGGGTAGAGCCTGTCCCAAGCCAAGACCCCTGCATCCCTTCACTCCACCACAACGCTGAGTGAGTGTCTTCTCTCCTCTGCAGAACCCCACCTGCCACATGTCCTGATGGAGAAGGGGGACATGTCCCTGGGAGAGTTTGAGCAACACTTGAAAGGGAGAACAGATTTCGTTCGCGGAACGAAGAAGGACCACAGTGCAGAGAGAAAGGTGAGAGTGACCAGAGCAGGGCGCCGATGGCGGCGGGGCAGGGCGGCACCGGGGAGGGACCTCATCTTCGCTGAGCCTGGAGGAGACTGAGACTAGGGAGGGACTTGCCCGTGTCACACAGCAACTAGGGGCAGATCCTGGATGAGAAGTGTCTGTCGTCCAGGGTTACCCTCGGTGTTCCGGGGCCCCGCGGGGAGGGCACATGGAGAAAGGGCTTCCTGGTGGAGCAGTCTGTGGGCTGTGTCCTCCAGCTTCCGGTCAAGTCGTCTTTGCCGAGTCCCGGCTTCAACTCCCTCTAAGGTCCTGCTGACGTTAGGTGCTATCGAGTGGGCCCCTTATCGTGGTCTCCCTTGGACAACAGAACAAAACCCTGATGGTCCTGTGCCAGCACAGAGATTGATCAGGGATAAGATGGTTGTGGGCCTCAGGGCTTTCATTGGCTGATTCAAAGATCACCAGTCCTTTCTTCCTCGTCTGAAAGCTGTTCAGCACCATAGCAACACACAAACCACAGTGACTACACTTGAGGTCGATGGCTGGGACTTGAACCTGGGTCTCCTGCATCAACGGCAAGAATTCTACCGCGGAACCACTGATGCCTCCTTCCAAAGTGCCAACGCCAAGCAAACTTCAAGGCTAGTGGCAGAAGCAACCCGGGTCTTCTCCAGACTACTCCAGCCTCAAGGACACTAAAGCCGGGTGCCTTCCCAGTTTCATCTTCCCCTCCTGGGCCTCCTTGTTCCCACCTTCTAAGTGCGATCTTTGCTCTCCCACCGTCTGTGAGCCTGGCTCGCCATTATGTAAAGAAGAGAGGCAGAGCAGGAATGGCTGAGAAAGGTCCTTTCCCTCCACACATCCTCCCCATCCCATGGTGCTGAGGAATCAGAAGACCTGGCAGTGGGGGTGGGGGGGACCAGAGGGTTAGAGGGGGGCTAGAAGTCTGAGCCAACAGCCACAATGTGCACTCAGCACCCCTCCCCACACATATCCCTCCCTGCACACTGCCAGATGCCGAGTGCCAGGATGGGTTTAGAAACGATAACACTCTTTGTTTCCTTGGCCCCATTTTTAGATGAGATCACTGAGGCCTGGCGGTGATAATGCAGACATAACTCATGAGCTGGGGAAGCAGGCAGGGGGGCGGTGGCCGGGCCCGTGGTTATCCTGTGGGTTGAGTTTGGTGACAATAAGGAGAAGGAATTAGAACAGGCCACGTGGTAGCAGTTCCGCTGGGTTTGTGTCCTCTCTCACTCCCTGCTGGCCCAGCTGGTGGTAGGGGGAGGGGGGTGGTGAGGTGGGAAGCAGACAGGAGATGACAGATGACAGTGCTCCTGTCACCTCCCACTGGAAGCACACCCCCTCCCCGAGCTGACCCGTCACCCAGAGGAGTCAGCTGGGAGAAGAGGCTGGAGCCAGGTTCTCAGAGTGGGGTGTGGCCATGCCAGGGGCGCCCCTGAGCCTGGAGAAGCGCAATCTATGGACCAGGGGGCGGGGATGGCATCCTGGGCCTCCCAGGCCTGGGGTGGGCTGCCCTGCCTGCTGAGCCTGAAATCAATTAGCTCTGGGACTGCTGAGGCAAACGAGAATTAATTTGCCACCTTGGGTTGCTTATGCAAATGGCCCGTATTCTTGTGCGCCCATGCGCTGCTGAGATACTAGCAATGGAGCAGCAGCTGCGGCGGCGAAGTGATGAGTTTATTGTCATTGGAGCCTGGACCCGGGCACTCGCTGCCCCTTCCATGTGGACACCAGGCTCCCTGAGGTGGCTCCTCTCCCTAGCAGACGGGCTGCTGCAGCCCTGGTTTTCTTCAAGAGTTGGGGCTGGGAGGTGGGAGGCAGGTCCAGTGGCTTGTGGCAAAGGAGATACATGTGGGAAGGAGACAGGGGTTGGTTAGGGAACAGCCAGAGGACAAACATCCATTGGGAGGAGGGGTGGGGACAGCTGTCAAAGACCGTGACTCAGCAAAGCCAGGGCCAATGGCCCAGAGACACACCGTACAAAGGACAGAGATGCGATGACACAGAGAGGCAGCAAGACTGAGCTAAACCTCACATGCAGGGCCAGTGTCCAGTCAAGACTCCCACCGGCTCATTCCCTCATTGATTCACTCAACAAACACCAAGTGGCCAGTGGGTGTCAGGTCCCCTGCTCAGCATCAAGGTTGCAGCAAGGGCACCTTCTTGCCCTCGTGGTGCCTACTGTCCCCAATGGGAAGCTGGACATAAAGTGACCAGATGAGCGAGATCAGTGCAGGAAGGGAGGAGCACAAGCAAGCCTGGTGGGGAGATGGGGTGATGAGTGACCAGGCGGGGCTGCCCTTGTGCCAGGTGTTTAGAGAGAGACCGTCTGAGAAGGAGACCTGGCAGAGGTAAGAGCTGTGAGTCCCAAGCACAGGATGTGCAAAGACATGAAGCCAAGTTGGAAGAGTTGGACATGAAGCAACCTGTTGGAGAGAGCATCCTGTGTGCCGGTGGAGGCGTCGGGAGCAGGTGGGCACAGAGAGGTGGACAGGTAGGCAGAGTCCAGGTCACAGAGGGCCCTGTGAGCCTTGGTGTACAACATGAGCAGTCTCAAGACCAGGGCTGCTCTAGCCACAGGGGGAGGAGAGTGGAAGGCAGGCCCAGGAAGAGGCTACTACAAAGCTCTAGGCACGAGAGGACGTGGTCCTCCATGGGTGGCGAAGTGCCCACGGGATGCCTTTGGGGTAAAATTGACCATCCCTTGCCAACAGATGAGAGGAGAGTTGGGGGGCAGAATCAAGCACAGCTCCCAGGTTTGGAGTTTGAACAGCTGGGTGGGGGGTGATGTCATCTATTGAGATAAGGAAGAGACCCAAATAGATATGGAGAGTCGAAAAACCCCGGATGTGCACCCAGAGAGCAGGTGAGAAGGGCATGGTGTCTGCTTCAGTGTGCAGTGAATCCTCCCCTGTCCCAGCCTCTCTGAAAACCACAAATCCAACACAAACCAACCCGTGGCCATCAAGTCTATTGGGACGCATAGCGACCTGACAGGACATTGTAGACCTGCTCCCCTAGGGATTTGAGGCTCTACATCTCTAGAGGAGCAAAGCCACTGAAAAGCCATCGGGAGCTCAGACGGTCAGCCCTCTCTGTTAGTAAGAGAGGTTCCTCAGCCCAACGTTAGTCCTGCAAATGCAAGAGACTAGGCGTGCCCTGCCTTCAAGGCTCGCCAAGGAGAAGGAAGGCAGAAACACCGACACAAAGCTGCCAGGCAGCCTGGGAAGCACTGCCTCACCCCCCACCCCAGTAGCAATCGGGGCAACAGGAGCAAGCGAATTCCCTACTGGGAATTCTCTGCTGGCAGTGGGCTTCAGAAACACTGCATCGAATCCACACAGCAACTCTAGGCACTCTGTCCTCTGGCGTGCTTTCACCGATGAGAAAACCGAGCCCACCTGGAAGACGGGGCAGGCTTTCCAAAGAGGTCAAAGCTGGGGGATGAGTAGGATTTATCAGTGAGAGAGCACCTATGCACGGGAAAACAAAATTCACTGCAGGGCTGCACCAGAGCAGGAAAGGAAGGTGTCCGGGTAGTGCAGTGCAGATAGCGAACACCCTCGGCTGCTAACCAAAGGTTGGAGGTGCAAACCTACCCAGAGGGGCCCCGGGAGAAAATCCTAGTGATTTGTTTCCAAGAAGTCAGCCCTGGCCCTGCTCTTGTTTCCAAGAGCAGTCTGGCCCTGACACACGCGGGGTCGCTTGGAGTTGGAATCCACCTGATGGCTCCTCAATGGAGGGGCCCCTGGCGGGGCGCGTGCCAGGGGCTCCCTCAGATGCGCTCCCTCAGTTCCTCCTGGGAAGCACATGGAAACTGGCCCAGAGAAGGGCTGGCCAGGATCACACAGCTGGAGGGTGGCAGAGGTAGGATTTGAAGCCCAGCCTCTGCAGCGCCACTGGCCGCTGCACTCCCTGCCCGTCCAGCAACCACGGGCATCGGGTCCGGTCCATGGGAAGTCTCCCGTGCAGCGTACAAGTGGATCTTGATCAGACTCACTAAGTCATGGGGGTGCTGGGGCGGGGGCGGCGTGTGGCCCAGGAGCCCTCGGCTGTCCAAGTGAGAGGGTGACCCTGTCTCCTCCAGACAGAAATCATCCGGAAGCGCCTCCACAAGGACATTCCCCACCATTCCGTCATCATGCTCAACTTCTGCCCCGACCTCCAGTCTGCCCAGTCCAGCCTGAGACAGACCCACGGCGAGTTCATCTTCCTCATTGACAGGAGCGGCAGCATGAGTGGGACCAATATCCTCTGCGTCAAGGTACCTGCTCGGGGCTCCTTTCTGTGGCTGTGAGTGGCCAGGGAGTCCCTGCCCACCCATGGCCACCTTAGGCGTGACATCCTCATCCCGCATCATCCGCACCCTCCCCAACAGGTCCAAGCCCATCTTTGGGACTGTGGCACCTGTCCAGGCGTTTCCTTGGGCTCCTGTAGAAGGGGATGCTTTAGATAGCAGAGACCGACTGGCTCCCCTTTCTGCAGGCCACTGGTTCAAACGCAGGGTGTCAACAGGGCCAGGTTCTCTCTTGGGCTCTGGGGGAAGATCCTTTCTTGTCTCTTCTGGCTTCGGTGGCCCCAGGCAATCCTTGGCCCGCAGCCAAAGCAGAACGGTGCTGTGCTACCTGTTTGCTTTCTGTCTCTGTCTCCTCTCCACCTCTTTAGAGACATCATTTGATTGGATTAGAACCCGCCCTATTCCACTCTGAGCTCCTGTTAACTGAGCAATACCTTCCAGGGCCTGATTTCCAAAGAAGTTACTTTCTCAAGTATCAAGGATGAGACATATAACATACCGTGGGGAGACACAGTTCAATCCCCCAGGCTCCGGGGGACATTGGCTGTGCTCCCCCAGCCTGGGTTCCTCGCACTTTCTGTTCCAGGGAACGTTTTACCTTGCCTGAACAACTTGCCTCGATGAGGATCCATGGTAAAGTGAAACGGTGAACAATTCTGCTGTCAGTCCAAACAGATGCCTACACTCAGCTCACTCCCAAAATAAAACCCCAAGAGAGGTGTGCACGGAGGTAGAACAGTTGTCCCTTTACAAGGAATGAAGTAGCCTATGGCTGCCCTTGACAGTCTACAAACTCGGGTTGTTCGCCTAAAATACACATGGGGTGGGGTGGGGGGCTAGAGAGAGAGAGAGGAGGAGGGAGACTAACAGTTGCTGAGGGACAGCTATGTGTCAGATACTGTGGGAGGCATGGAACCACACAACTTGGTATTTCGTTTGGACAAAAATCCTGTGAGGTTGGTGCTATCAATGTCATTTTCCAAATGGGAAAACTGATCCTGAGCGTTTCAGTAACCTACTCAAGGTTCTGCAGCTCGGTCTCAGATTACATATACATCTGGCTGATTGTTCCCACCACCATACAGTAGCTGTTAATTTACATCAAGGAATATGTAATCTAGCAGGAGAGATTAGGGTTAGCTTCTTGTGGCTGAATGTGAAGTCAAGGTCTGAGTTTACTAAGAATGACACAACTCACCAACAGGCATTGGATGGAACATTCTGTTATACAGAAACAGAGCAAGGTCAGGTTGAATCGTGAGTGTCAACCTCCCATGGCCAGTCGGTCACTCCCCACAGCAGCTGGCACAACAGGAATCAGGAGAGAAGAGTTAGATGACCTTGCGATGCCAAGTATCCCCTCAGGTTTTTTAAGGTTGGGTTTTACTTTGAAGTATACAAGATGTCATCATTTCTCAGCCTTTTGGCTAAGATCAAGTATAGTATGCAGAAGACTCCTTAGGCCACTTGACACTGGGATGTAGGACTCCCAGGTACCATTTTCCCACCTCTGGCCCCAGTCAAAGGAAGGCTTGCACTTGGGGAGCTGTCCACAGTTCTGGAGTGCTGAACCACTCCTCAAGCCTGTGTCCCATTCCATTGGCATCCTCCCCATACTCACTGCCAAGAGTCAATACTGACCCTCTGTGTATTTCTGAGACTGCAACTGTTTACGGGAGTAGAAAGCCCACTCTTTCTCCCACGGAGCCTCTGGTGGTTTCGAACTGCCAACCATTCGAACTGAGTGACCACTCCACCACCAGGGCTTAGAAGCTGCAGAGTTTCCAAGGTTGTCAATCTTTATGGAAGTAGAATGCCACATCTTTTACCTCAGAGTGACTGGTGGGTTCAAACTGCCAGCCTATGGGTTGGCAGCTGAGTGGTTGACTACTGTTTATGTCACCAGGGCTCATTCAGCCCTATTTATCCACAGCCTTACCAACTCAGGATGGACCGTGGACCCCAAGCCCCCCTGGTGACTAGTTGTCATTGAGTTGACTCCATCCGAGGACCTGATGTGTGACAGAAAGGATGGTCTGCTGGCCCGGCGCCATCTTCGTTGATGTATTCGAGTCCACTTTTGTGGTTATTGCACCAATCTGTCTCCCTAAGGAAGTTTCTCTCATTTTCTCTGATCCTCTATCTTACCAAACATTGTGCCCTTTCCTGGCGATTGGTCTTTGCCAGTGACATGTCCAAAATTAGCAAGCCCAAATTTCACCATTCTTGCTTCCAAGGAGCATTCTGCTAATATTTCTCCTATGACTGCTGCATCTGTTTGCCTAGCAGCCCAGAGTCTATTTAATATTCTTTGCCAACTCCACAGTTTGAAGGTATCAATTCTTCTTCTGCCTTCCTTTCTCATTAGGCAGCTTCCGCACGCATGTGAGATGATTGGAAAGATTATGGCCTGGGTCAGACATACCTTAGTCATCAAAGTGACATCTTAGCTTTTCCAAACATTAAAGGTAGTTTTGCAACACATTCTTCCAATGCAATTACCCAAATATGGAAATTGAGTCCCCAAGGGTCTAATGCTTTTCCCAGTCGCACGGGGCTGCTGCGGGAGGCAGAGTTCTCTTGATTCGATGTTCTGTTTTGTTCTTTCATTGCTGGCTGGGGAGTGTGAATGCTCCTCCATTCAACAAAGCCCTCCTCTCTGGTTATGCCATCCCCGCCGCTGGCATAGTGGAGAGACCAGATGGGAAATAAGCAGCCGGGGCTTTAGGACCACCTCTGCTACCAATTGGCTGTGTGACCTTAGACCGGTTTGATTCTCAACTCTGGGCCTCCTTTGTCCCTTCTGTGACATGGGAGGAAAGAATGAATTAAGGGAGGCCAAACACACATCACCCGATGCTCAGCTCCCCTGTCACAAGACCAGGTAAACAGCAATAATGGATCCTAACCTTTTTTCTTTTTTTCCTTCGTCGGCCTGAGCTCATTATCTGTTATCTTTCTCATCTCGGTGTTTCCAGAAGCTGCTGCCAGCTGAATGGAGTTGCTTTATGAGTGAAAATTCATTTCCGGAACTGAAAATCTTTCCAACCCTAACCCCTCCATTCCAGAATTCTCCAATGGCAATGTTCTCTGGGCTCCCGAGCAGTGGCCTTTCCCCTTGGACACTTTCAGTTTTGCCCTTCTAGCTCAAGGTCACCCCGGGACAAATGGCTTTGCATTGGCACAGTCCATGCTGCTGACCAGGCCCCTTTTAGAGCAAAGCACAGAAATGAGTCAGACCACACACTCTTTTCCCCATTGACGAGGGCCATTGGTGATGGTCCACTGGGTCCAAGTTTTAGGGGAAACTGGGCTTATGGATGTGAGGCTAAGTGGGAACTCAAACAACCCGTGCCAGAGGGCAAAGCTCGGACCATTTAATTTCCTACAGCTGGTCTCATTCTTCAGTTGCCACTTGCTGCCAAAACATGGCTTAAAAACAAATCCTAATAGGTGTGAGCAGAGACCATCTGTGTGGCTCCGCAGAGCCTCCTGCAAGTAAGAATATGCATCAGAGGCTAAGGGGACAAAGGGGGGCGGAGGGGGGGAGTAAGCAGCTATTGACTTTTGTAGAAAAACAACATGTATTGACATAAACAATAACCAAGCAAACGGGTGAATGTTGGCAGTGGGGGGTGGGGCGAGGGTCTGCAGCGGTGTGGAGCCTGAGGGCACAGGGTGTGAGAGTTACCGGACCCCGCTTCTTACAGTAGCTCTTTCCTTCTGGACTCTGGGGTGCAGCAGTTGTTTCCCCAGAGTCGTGCTGAGATTCCTGGGGTGCCAAGAACAGGGGCGGGGACCCTCATTCCAGGGCCGGGGGATGTGAATCAAGATTTCAGAGCGTGGTTTTGGAAGCCTTTGCCCTAGTCTGAAGTTGTGTGATCCAGCGACATTCCTTAACCCTTCTGGGTCCCCGTCTTCGTATCTGTGAAGTGGGGGTGATGATATTGAGAGAATGGCGTGTGCACGCATGACCTTATGCGATCTTCACAGTCCCACTTCAAGACAGACGCAGTGTGAGGCCCGTTGTATAGCTGAGGACCTGAGGCACGCCGTCATCGGGCTGGTAATGACAGCCATCTACTGAGGGAAGACTGTGTGACAGACCGAGGCTCAAAGGGGTGACAAAATTAGCTCAAGGTCAAGTGAGACATGGTAACGGTAGACGTTAAACCCAGATATGTTTAACTGCAAAGCATATTTTCGCAAGCACTTCTCTATAATACGAGGAGCTTCAGAAAGTGTGTGGGAAGATAGAGTTCAAAGATAACAGAGTTTTTCCACACACTTTTCGAAGCTCCCTTAGACTGTTATAGAGGCAAAATAAGAGTCTAACTACCAAGCTCTACCCCGTCTGTGAAGCACAGCAGTGGCTTACTGTTTATCATTGCGTATTATCAACACCACTGTCACCACTGTCATCTTGTGTCCACTGTCCCTCTTTGTCACGCCCCTTCCTTGCCCACTAAACCTTTGCCGTGGTCCCCTGAGGGTACGTGGTTAAATGGCTGATTCTTTCATTTTCACAGACTTTAGAGAAAAAAAATGACCTGTCTCTGAGTCTGAACTCCACCATTTACTTTCTGGGCACTCCCCGCACCTCTCTGTGCCTCCGTTTTCTTTTCTGTGAAGTGGAGAGAGCATTGTGCCTGCCTCAAAGGGTTGCTTTGTTGTGAAGGTGGTCTTAGGTGAATGTATGTGAAGCACAGCCCACATATCCAACAAATGCCAGCTGAAGAGACTGTCCCTGGGGGGTCGTCCCGAGATTACGATAGGTTATGTCTGATGCAAAGGGCCTGGAGGAGACGGGGAGCGGGTTCTACCATGTGACCCGGCCAGACCATGCTCCCCCTTAGATGTCAATGTTGCTTTGGCAAAAGAGAGCAGGTGCTCCGCCATCCGCCTCTCTCAAGGTCAGCGAGAGGTGCGATGGAACTGGAAGCCGCCACAGCACGGCTTTGAGAAGTCAGCCATGCTGCTGCACAGCCGGGAAGCTCAGTGGTGATGGCGCTGGGCCAGCCCTTGGTCAGCATCAGCACATGTCTTGAACCGGGGGAGAAAGAGATGCTGGATGCAGACAGGCAAGGACCTGTCTACAGGCTATTTCTGTTCCCCAATGAGAATGCTGGTGTGTGGTGACAAGGTTGTCTGTGACCCTTTTCCACTCCAACCCTGAATCCCCCAAATCCCTTTCTCTCCTTCCAGAATGCCATGCTGGTGGCTCTCAAGAGCCTCTTGCCCACCTGCCTCTTCAATGTCATCGGGTTTGGGTCCACATTTAAGACCCTGTTCCCTTCCAGTCAGACCTACAATGAGGTGAGGAAGGGTAAGGAGGCGAGGAGGGCTGAGACCAGGAAGGGGTGGGTGGTGGGGATCAGGAGAAAGAAGGGAGAAGAGAAGAGGAGGTCTCCCTAGGGCCTGCCTCAGAAGCGCCTCGCCAAATCCAACTCCAACTCTGTACAAAGACAGAGGGGCGAAGAGATACTCTGTTTAGGTCGTTTTCTGACATGCCCGTTTTCTGACACACACCCCACGCACGCACACACGCGCACACTTTTTCAAAGAAGAATTCACTGGACAAAGTATGTGAGTGCACAGAGAGAGGACATAGGCTAGACTTGCCACTCACCAACACCTCTGCTAAGAAGATGCGTGCCTAGTCGTGCCTAGTCGTGCCGAGTGGGTCAATGGGAGGGGAGGGACGGTGGATAAGTGGGTGGAATTTGGCAAAGAATTCAACTGAGAAACCTCAAACTACAAGGGGAAGCCAGGAGGCTATGGCCCCAGCAGCATGTCCAAAATTGGAGCATCCTACCTAGGTCTAGGAGCAGATAGGACAGAGGGAGGGAGGGAGGGAGGGAAGGAGGGAGGTGAGGGAAGGAGAGGAGAAGGGAAGGAAAAATCACTTTATGGGTTTTCAAAATGCAAAAATATTGTATATTGGTTGTCCCTAAATTTTTTAATTTGATATAAAAAATCAAATTTTTTAATTTAAAAAATCTCCCGTGGTTATATCCGCCAAGGAAATTAAAACACACACACACACACAAAAGGCTAGAAATACCTGGAGCCTTATTTCTATATACTGACTAGCATTTCTGATGGAAGAAGGATTAGACCTCACATATTCTCTGCACCCAACTTTCCTAATGCAGCCAATGCTCCAACTCCCTGCCAGCAAGCCGGTTCTGACTCACAGAGACCCTAAGGAGCATGGTAGAACTGCCTCGTGGGTTTCCAAGATTATAACTCTTTGTGAGAGTAGAAAGGCTTGTCTTTCTCCCACGGACCGGCTGGTGGTCTTGAACTGCTGACCAGATAGTTAGCAGCATCACTCTGAACCCCACACCATCAGAGCTCCATTCCTAACACAGTAGTCCATCATATTCCCATACCAATAAGTACTCATCAGAAAACAATTGTTAAGGTTTTTAACAATGTTTTGTTATGTAGGTGTTTGTGCTAGGTTTTGTTATGTAATAATAGGTAGTGACTTATTCAGTCCCCGCTGTTGAGCATTTAGGAGTCCTGGTGACGTTGAAAGTTCAGTGGTTCAAACCCTCCAGGAGGCTGTCTGCTCCTGTAGAGATTGACAAAGGCTCGGAAACTATAATGAGACATAATCCACGATGGCGGTGGGTTGAGTTGGGAATTTAGGCTATTGTCAATTTTTTCCCTATTAGGTCATCTTTGTAACAAAAATTCTGCATATTATTCCCTTGGGATAAATTCCTAGACTTGCTGAGACACAAGGTACATGTCCATTTCAAGACTTTTGATCTACGCCATTATGTTTAAATCCCTCTGGATCCTGGCTGTTGTAAGTCCCTTCCACTCCTGGCCATCAGAGTCAGCGGGGAGGACATATCCACTGAGACCCCACCGTTGCTGCAATAATGGCCACACCCAGCCAGTGGTCCTTGGCCACTTAGGCCCCACGAGGTTGGCCCAGGACAGAGGGAATTTAAAGCCCCGATCCGGGCAGTCATTTCCTCAAAGGGTCCTAGGAAGTTGGCTAATGTCAGATTCAGTACAAAGATGGGAGGCTGAAGATTTCTAGCCTGGAATTCTTTCCTCTATCCACCTCATCGGAAAAGGAAACTTTGCTGCTGGGGAATCAGGAGTGAAACCTCACCCAAGGGTGTTGATTTCATTTTTTCTAAGAAGAACCCACAAAGGGCAGTGGTGAGTTGATGCACCTCAGCTGGTGAAATTCGGGCATTGATAGGACAATATGATTGGGTGAGGTCACACCAAATGAGTGGGTGCCTCCTCTTCTGAGCCCTGGGCCAGAAATGCAATTGGGAACATAGGTCAACTCCATTAGGGCTGCACTAGGAGCCGGGGGAACATGGAGCGTATTCTCCAGATAGCTTAGAGTTTGCACCCCATAGGGTGACCCCCGGGGACTCTGTCCCTCCTGTGGCCCTTTCCCTGCAGGAGAGCTTGGCCTTGGCCTGTGATAACATCCAGAGAATGCGGGCTGACATGGGTGGCACCAACATCCTCTCTCCTCTCAAGTGGATCCTCCGGCAGCCAGTGCACCAGGGCCACCCACGGCTCCTCTTCCTGATCACAGACGGTGCCATCAACAACACCGGGAAGGTGCTGGAGCTGGTGCGCAACCATGCCTTCTCCACCAGGTCAGCCTGGGCTGAAGGCCCAGGGCTCCATCTTCCTGGACTACCCTGGGTTGGGGTGCCAAGGCCAGATTGAACTGTGGGGAAAGCCAGCGGGAGAGAAGACCCACAATTCCGCCAGTGCTTTGCTTTCAGGAGGGTGTGGGCTGACCTCAAAGCTTGCCTTCTCCCAGCAAAAGTTGAGGAGGAATGGTTGCCCAAGTTTCTACATATCTCCCTCTGAAAGCAGTCTGCCTAGCCTAGGAAGAGCAAGGCTTTCCTTCTGCTTTGCATGTGTCTGGGGTGGGGCCTTTGTGGGGTGTGTGTGTGTGTGAGAGAGAGAGAGAGAGAGTCAGTCCACTGATGGTCCATCCTCCTCCTCCTCCCTCATTTTTTGCCTGAGGGATTTGAGATAAATCTACCTTTTCCCATCAGAGCCAAAGATGGCCCAGAGGATGGAAGGACTAGACTCTCTCCTCCTCTCCGCTCAGGTGCTACAGCTTTGGAATCGGCCCCAACGTCTGCCACAGACTGGTACAAAGGCTGGCGTCTGTGTCCAAGGGCAGTGCTGAGTTCCTGGTGGAAGGAGAGCGGCTGCAGCCAAAGGTAGGTGAAAAGGTTCTACTCCCTTCTCGTGCTACAGCCTCTGAGGCCCAGGCTGGTCCTCTGCAAAGTCAGTGGTGGGACTGAGATTTCACCCCAAAACTGAGCTCTCCACTAAGCCACACTACACCCCAGGAAGAGCCAGAGAGGCATAGGTCACAGCTGGTGACCCCAGGAGCCAGATGCCTTGGTCTCCAGCCACTGGCTGGGCAGCATTGGGGACCCCGAAGGAGACCCTGCCTTTATAGATAAGGAGTTATTTGGGGGTCATTTCTAGGCAAGTTCTTGACGATTTCAAATGCTGGCTCAGAAGCACCTGAAGAGCCTAGAAGTCAAGCTTGTGTGAATGGCACAAACTAGCCCTGGTGTTGGCACAGTGTGCTGGGCTACCAGGACTAGGCTCAAACCTACCAGCTACTCCTCGGGAGAAAGCTGAGACATTCTCCTCCCATGAAGATGTGCAGTCTTGGAAACCCACAGTATCCCAGGGAGTCACTCTCAGTGGCTTGATTTCAGTGAGTCTGGGATCCAAATAAATTACTAAATCTCTGTCACCCTTAGAAAACCCGTGCGTCAGCTTGGCCTCTCAGGAATCAGACCTTGAGCTGAGTGCACGAGGGTTAATGGAGGATTTGACTACGGACTGAAGAATTTTGTCTATCAACCCCCCTCCCAAAAAAAAATGGAGAAAGGTAGAAAAGGTCTCGATCCATGCTGGGGTCCAAGGCCTGTTCAAGCCAGGAAGGAAAGCAGAATTGGGCAAGAACCTCAGAGTCCAATGCAGGTCTGACAAGGTCTCGGGCAACCCGACAGGGAGCTCTGGGTCAGGTTGTCCACGGCAGGAGTCTGTGTGTGACTGAAGTGGCCACCACTCTCCACCACAGTCTGGGGACTTCCAGCGAGAATCGGGGTGTTGGCTGGAAAGCTGGGGAACCAGAGACGTTACCTAATGCCATTCCTTGCAGCACAACGGAATGTCCTTTCTTTTCCTTTCTGTTCGAAGCCCACCAGTCTGTCACGAAAGCCCCCAGGTGTCCTTCAGCTCTCCTTGTCCTCCTTGGGCAGCCTCTCAGACCAATGCTGAGAGCTGATGGGTACGGACTCTGGGGGGCTTTGAAGGCGCTCCCCCATCTCTCACCCCAGCCCCGCCCCCACCTCTTTCTCATTCTCTCTTTTTAAAATTGATTCAGTTATATATATATGTATATTTTTTTAATTTTTCCCTTTTGTTTGTGAAATGTAACATGAACACAGAAAAGCACGTCCTATGTAGTGACACAGCTCATCTCACCAATCCCGTGACAGGGCCCCATCAACCAACCCTGCCCCACCACCCCGACCCCGAACATATGGTTCTTTTTATGTTCCTTCTCCCCGCCTTCCTCCCTCCTCACTGCCCTGCCCCTCACCCACCCACCCACCGACACAGCATGTCCTTCGTAAAGAAAGACTTAAGTGGCCTGCCTCCTAGACAACCACATCCCTAAGTCCCCTTCCCCCCATCTCTGCGGTGCTCCAGGAGAAGGCACCCTGAAAGAGAGATGTCAATCCACAGCTGTCAGTTATCGACCACCGACCACGTGGCAAGACGTCACAGAGCCAGCGTCTCAGACAATCTTCCCAACTGGGGTGAGAGCTGAGGAATACCAAACCCCCGTCACAGAAGGGGAAACTGAGGCCCAGAGAAACCAGTGCACTTCCTCAAGATCAGTCGCTGGCCTCTGCTTTGACACAAACGTTTCTGGGTGGTCTTGGGCAAGCCACAGACCCACGTTGGACCCCCGTGTTCTCCTCTGTAAGATGCTGAGCTCAGAAAAGATGACAGCAAAGGTCTGTTCCAACTCTGACTGTCTTGCAGTCTAGAGCTCGGGGGCATCGTGCTCACTGTGGGACAGGCCACCCCTAGGCTTCGTCCTTCTCCCTTCTCACACTGCCGCATGGCCACGCTCAGTGGACTCCATGCGTGTCATCCGTACACACCCCAGCTCATACGGACACCGACCCGTGTTCTGCTCCTGCCCAACAGATGGTCAGATCCCTGAAGAAGGCCATGGCCCCGGTCCTGAGTGATGTGACCGTTGAGTGGGTCTTCCCCGAGACCACTGAAGTCCTGATCTCGCCCATCAGCACCAGCTCCCTCTTCCCTGGAGAACGGCTGGTGGGCTACGGCATTGTGTGTGATACTTCTCTGTACATCTCCAAGCCCAGATCGGTAAGTTCCCTAGACATTTCTGGGATGCATGGGGGCCCAGAATCTATGCCCATAAAGCCATCCTTAGCTGGGATGATGTTGCTCCTGGCAGCTACAGACCAATGGGAACCAGGATGATGTTTGTGGGCCAGCGTTACCAGGCCCTGGACATCCCATCGTGGGGGCATGTTTTGGGTGGGTGCCGCCATCTCCATGTGGGGGGTCTCAGAATCTCTTCAGCAGAATAACGGGAAAATGCATTTAAAAAGCAGAGTCCACGCTCCAACCGAGGTCGAGCGAATAAGAATCCCTAAGGGTAAGGTCCAAGAATCTGCATTTGACATGATCTCCTCTTAGTAGCTCTGACACACACGTCACACCTCCTGAGATGCGCTTGTCTCCTTAGATAGGCCTGTGCTTCCTGCATTTGTGGAAACAGCTCCCTCTTAGTGGCATAAGTAAGGAACTTCTTGAATTCAGGCTAAAGCATGCGACACTGCCTGGGAAGATGTTTGCTCGCCCACCCTTCATCGCTAGTGTCCCATCGAAAGGTTTCCCAACTTGTTTTGCCCAGCAGAAACCATACGCTCAAATGCCTAGGGGGACCTGGCAGGTAGGATATGAATGCGATCAGTATATGTTTTTAAAGGTGCAAATGCCACGATGAACAGCCATGCTCACTGAGCTCATAACTGGCGAGAAACTAAGGGGTGGTGGAGAAGCAGCACATGGGGGGCCTATGTTCTGCCTAGACTGGGAAAATCCCGACTACTTGGCTTCCGAAATGATTGCCCTGTAGGAATGTGAGGGAGCCCCGAGTTTAATATGTTTCCAGTTCTCAAGGGAAATTAGAAATGTATGTGAGAGTGCAAAGTTGTTTACAATGAAGAACCATGATATGACCCAATTTTTTTATTTTTTTTAATCATTTTACTAGGGGCTCATACAACTCATCACAATCCATACATAGACCCAATTTTTTTAAAGCTACATTGAGCCCCTCACCATAAAAAAAACTTCCCATGTTTCCTATGCAGGTAGAGAGAGAGTGAAATGTACAAATGCACATATATGTTTATACCACGGAGAAGATGGAGGGAATAGATGGTTAATTTTGTTAATTTTTGTGACCTGTTTTTGGACAGGAGTGGCATTTATAATCAGTTTTTGTCATTATAAAGAAGGAAGACAATAACGAAAATTAAAAACAATATCACAGAAGTTCCATTATGATCCAGCAATTCCACTCCGAGATAGGGTACCCAAAAAACTGGAAAGCAGCAACTCAAAGGGGACCCAGGTACCACATGGGTCACTGCAGTACTCCCCACTGTGGCCAAAAGGTGGACGCAGCCCAAGTGCTCGTCAGTGGATGAGCAGATAAAGCAAACGTAGTGTATGCTTACCATGACGGGTCATACAGTCATAAACATTGATGAACCGCATGGATGGCCCTGGAATACTGAATGAAATTAGCCAGAAATAGACCGATATAGTGGCATCCCACTTCTTTTTTTTTAAATCATTTTATTAGGGGCTCATACGACTCTTATCACAATCCATACATACATCAATTGTGTAAAGCACATTTGTACATTCATTGCCCTCATCATTCTCAAAACAGTTGTTCTCCATTTAAGCACCTGACATCAGGTTCTCATTTTTCCTCCTCCCTCCCCGCTCCCCCCTCCTTCATGAGCCCTTGATAACTTATAAATTATTATTTTGTCATATCTTGCCCTGTCCGACGTCTCCCTTCACCCACTTTTCGGTTGTCCATCCCCCAGGGAGGTCACATATA